TGCTGAGGCAAGATAAACTAAAGTCTGATGGGTGAGGAGGTAATGTAGCTAGGGCCAGAAAGGGACAAGTGCGGCCTCATCATAAGAGCCCTGGGACCCAGGCAGGGCAGGACCTCCCATTGTGCAGAGGGGAAACAGGGGCAGAGAGAAGTTGACATTCCCAAGAGGCGAAACTGGGACCACAAGCAGTTCTCCTGACTCCAAGTCCCCATTCCATTCTACCTCTTAACAAGGATCCTCACACAATAGCTACCTGTGTGGGGCTAGAATGGAATCCAATCCCCTCCAGTCCTGGTTTGGGCGGCTGTCCCAGCTCCTTGCCATACTAGGCCAAAAGGGGAGGAGAAAGCAGGGGTCCGTGAGAACCAATGAACTACATGTGGGGCTGTTGGTGTCTGGCATTATTTTGGGAGGTACTGCTACCCAGCTCCCAGGGGGTAGGAGCTAAGGCCTAAGAAGGCAGAAAATTCAGGACCACCCCCCCCAACACACACACACAGACACAACTCCATGGGAGTTTACACAGAGCCTTCCCATGTATCATCTCTGCAGTCTTGAGCAGCTCCAAGAACAGCTCGCTATTGGAGAGCTGAAAGTATCCAGGCCCAGGGAATTGGCTCTTGATGCTCGGACTTAAGTTCAACAAGGGTTGAACTTGGGTTCTCTGATTCCCAATACAAAGTGCTAAAGCTCTGGTCAGGAGTGAGTGGGTCTGGAGTCCAGCTGGAGAGTAGGAGTGGGTCAGCAGCAGGGGCTGGAAGGAAAGGGTCCCCAGGAGTGCGAGGGCAGATGGGACCAGACCTCAGGCTGGAGCTGTGCTTCTCTACTGGAGGTGGACAGAGGAGGAGAGGAGGGAGGAAGCATGTGGGTGCTTGTAGAGGTACCTGTGTCTCTAACTCCCCCAGGACCCACCAGCCCAAGGTTGGCCTGTGGAGCCCGGAATGCCCAGCAATGCCAGAGTATCCAGATACCTTCTGGGCCTCAGTTTCCCCTTCCGTGGAGTGAGAGCAAGGAGCTGACAACATTGGTGTCCAGTCTCTGCAAGGTTGCCAGACGATGCCCGCATCCGAAGACGCCACCCGGAGATTGTCCCTGGGCAGCCCGAGAGTCAGAGCTGCCCCCTCCCCTTCCCCTCCCCCTCCACGGCACTGCTGCCGGGCCCCCGCCCCCGCCCCGCCTCCGGTGTGCGATGGGGGGCGGGCGGCGGGCAGAGCGGAGAGGATCGGAGCCGCCACCTGATCCCATCCAGGCGCGGAGAGGCTAGCGAACCGGCACTCGGCGCTCAGGGCCCCCGGCGCCCTCCGATCCGCATTGGATTTCGGGACAAGGGTTGGGAGATAGCGGCGACCACCCCCCACCCGGGTCGGAGGCAGAGCCCGCCGCGTGAGTACTGACTGCAGTGGCCTGCCTGGGGCTGGGGGACGGAGGTGGACCGGACCGGGACTGAGATCGGAGATCGAGGGTGGGCGAGAGAGTGTCGTGGGGGCCTAGTGCCTGGAGAGCATTGGCGGGGGGGGGGGGGGGGGACACGACGTTCTGCCCCCTGGAGAGCGAGGGAGGCCCGGGGTGAGAGGGGGAATCTGGCTTATCCCCTATGGTGAGCAGATCTTGGTGACGGGATCTCTAGGGTAGGTGGGGATGAAATTGAAGGAATGGGGGCTGGAGGGGCAGTAGTGATGGAGAGAGGAGGATGAAGGGAATTCGGAGACAGGGATGACGTGGGGGTGGATGGCAGGGAGAGGGGGCTGGGGGGACCTGGCAGCAGGCTGGGAGGAAAAAGGAAGAAAAAGAGAGAGGTGGAAAGATACATGATCTCCTACGCCACTTACTTGCAACCCCCTGAGCCCTTGGCCCCTTCCTTTCTAGTGCCCTGGGCAGTTTCCCTCCCTACTCATTGGGCTGTGCCATCCTCAAGTAAGGATGGAGTCTCCAGGTCATCCAATGGTCAGGTCCGGTGGTCCAGGCCAGGACACCCTCCTCCTCTAAAAGCACCTATATTGGCCCTAGGGCTGGGATGGAGAGAGAAAAGGGCTCATTTGGGAGTGGGTGGGTGTCCAGGCCAGTTTTCAAAGCTCTGGCTAGCTAGACCATTTTTTTTCTTTGGTTCCCTGGAGAAAGGAAAGCAATTTGCAAAACCAGGCAGCAGCCTGAGGTAAATTGTTCTGACTAAAATTAGCACTGATATTCTGATGAGGCTGGGCATCCTGACCTGTCTGGGACAGCTGAGGAAAACTCTCTCCATGGAGAAGAGACAGGGGAAGCAGGGGAGTAGTTTGAAGCATGCGATCGGCCAGAGCCGGGGGGCCAGGAGACCACCACCCACCCCACGGCATCCTAGAGATGACAGAGGTTAAATCCAGCCCCAGCCAGCCCCGTTCCCCAGATGCCAGTGCTCGGACTCCAGCTCCAGAGGAGCCATCATGGAGAGAACTTGCCAAGGGAAGGGAGGCCTCCTCCAGTGTCCAAGCAGCACCCTCTCGCAAGACCTGGAATGTTTAGCCTGGCTGAGTGCCCACCCAGAGGAGACAAGGTTACTGTTTTCAAATACCTGAAGGTCTGTCATGGAGAAAAATGACCCGTGTGGTCTAGGAGTGCAGCACTAGCAATCGTGTGGAGTGGAAGATGCAAGGGGACAAGCTGAGGAGGGCACTAACGGCGGCAGGCTGATCCCAGCTGTGCCAGACACAACTTTTGAACAGCTTGAGGCTGCTCAGAAATGGACCAGGCTGTACCTGAAGGTGGTGAGCATCCCGTCACTGGTGGTGGCCAAGCAGAAACTGGTGCCCACCTCTGAGGGCTGGTGTCCAGGGAGTTCTTGTGCTGATGATTCCCTATTCCAAGGGGGCCTCAGACTGGAGTCTGGCTGGTCGGGTCCCCAGAGCTAAGACATGGAGGGGAGTGGGATGGAGAGGACCACCAAGCACTGTCGTCCTTCTCTATGCAGCCTGGTTGAAGCATTCTCCAAGCAAATTCTCCCAGTGTAGCTCCCTCCAGGCTTGACCTCCTTGGGTGACCCAGAGTCCACTGAAAATAGGGTAGTTTTAGCGAGTTTAGCACAGATGAGAATAGGTTGCCCCCCCCCCACTCTGCCCCCTTGAAAACTCCCATCTTGTCACCAAATCCTCAAGGCAGGATGAGTGGCAGAGGCCACAGGCTCTGACTTCCTCTTGTAGGCTTCCTTGCTCAGGCAAAGCCAGCCCTTCTCTGCCCCTATCAATTCTTGAAAACACAGCAGGGCCTTAGGCTTTCTCTGCTATGCCCTTGGTTAACCCTCTGTGGCTGTACCCTTTACCTCCCTCGGCTCCAGGCAGATTAAGTCTGTCTGCAGGCTGGTGGAGGAAACCAGGTGATGGGGCCTGGAGAGAAAGGAAAGGCATAAGCAGGACATCTTTCTACCCAAACAGGTTTAAATGTAATCCAGGATTAACGAGGGGCCAGGGGAGGTAGCGGTAAAGAAGAGGGACTGGAAACCAAGCTTCAAGCCCCAGGGGAAAGTGATGGTCAAAAGTTTTTACATTACCTCATCCCTCCTGGGACCCAGGTGTCCTAGTTCCAAGTATGTGCAAATGCCCACAGGGTTCCAGGCTCCCTCTCCCCTTTCAAGACATGTGTATGTGAGGCTGAAGCTGAACCCAGACCTGGAGACTGAGGCCTCTGAGACAGGGACCCTACAACAGTGGGGAGACAGGCATTGCTGCTGAAACTGACTTTCCATAGCACTGCCAAAGGCCAGGCTGCCCTTGAGCCAAGGCATTCACATGGGGACAGGTGACTGGCCGGAAAGCAGGCCCTTCTTGTGCCTCTCACTCCTGCCACTCACCTGGGATGGAAGCCCACCTTCTCCCGGAGAATCTCCGCAGAACAACAAGCAGGAGCACCTCTGTATTCACCACACCCCCACCCCTCTGCCAGGCTGCCATGTCCCCGCCTTGGCCAGGCACCTCTCACTGCAGAGTCAGCTGATGGGGCAGCCAGGGTTTCAGGTGTCTGGGGATGAAATCCAGATAGGGTTCTGATTTCAAGTCCTTCCTTTCTTTCCCTCATGGATTTATTGGTCTTGGGCCCCCAGGGCAGGTGCCCAGCTAGGAAGGCTCAGGGCTCAGAAGCATGCAGAACTGCCAGAGTCCAGAGCAGGGATGGGGAAACCAGTTCTCTGTGGAAGCAGCACACATAACGTCTAGGGGGATGGGCTTTGAAACCAGAAAGAGCAGGTCTGAATCCTGATTCTGCCAACAGCTGTGTGACCACAGGACAAGTAGCGCCATCCCTAGAGCCTCAGTCTCCTTGTCTGCAAAATGGGGAATAATACCTATGTTAGGGTGTGGTGGGCATTAAATGAAATTAAGTATGTAATAGTATATTACGTGTTGTAAGCCTGCAGTATTGATCCCTTGCCCAAGTCAAGAGACTCAAGAAGCTATAGGTCTGGTTAGTGGTTTCTGAGGAGCTCAGTCTCTGGGGAGTCAAGACCAACTCTTGGCTGAAGCAGTCAGGCAAGGAGTCCTGGAGGAGGGATACCTTGAACTGAAACTTCTGTGCTTTAAGCCAAGCCCTGGTGCTAAGGTAAGTCTACTGGGGAGACAGATACAAATGACCACAAGACAAAGACTAATTAAGGGTCAGGGAGAGAAGCCAAGACAGGGCTCAAGGGAGGAGTAGCTACAGCTTGAAGGGCTGGCCACACCCCAGAGCCTGTAATTCCACCCATGACTAAGTTATCTGGAGCCGTGTGGAGATAGGGTCTTGGTAATGGGAGGTAGGAATCCGATCTTCTCTGGCTTCTCTGCTCACCCCACCATTTGGAGCTCTCCTTTGCAGCAGTCCTGCTGGGGCCCACAGCCCATCTCCTCTGCCTGCTGCAAACCTGTTTGCCTCCTCCTTCTGCCAGGCCTCTCAGGAATACTGGCCCTGCTACCAGAGCCCCAGGAGCCCCCATGAGTGTCGGCGAAGGGAGTCCTGGATAGCGAGGCCCCGGCTGGTCCAGGGGTGGGTACCACATCATGCCACCCATCCTCCAGCACGTGCAGCAGGCCACCAAGATGATGAGCCGAAGGAAAATCCTGCTGCTGGTGCTAGGGTGCAGCACCTTAAGCCTCCTCATCCACCAGGGGGCACAGCTCAGCTGGTAAGGGGGCAGGGCCTCAGTGTGGGGGCGGGACCCAGGCGAGTTGCATTCTTGCTGCGTTGGCAACAGAACTGGGAGCTCTCCTTCCCATTCCTTCTATCTGCCAGGAGAGTCTGTCTTCTGCTGGGTTTTGCTCCTTCCCCCTATTCTTAAAAGTGCTTTCTATACATTCTCTTTAGATCCACACAACCTCCCTGGGCAGGGACTGGTCTTCACTGAAAGGTTGCTTGAAGGCACAGAGTTAGTCAGTGGCTAAACTGGGATTCTAATCCAGTCCAAGTCCTTCCCACGGCATTCTGAGTGCCTCCCCCAAAGGACTGCAAACTTCTCATTGCTTCTGCTGTGCTAGGCAAATGCCCTCACTTCTCTGAGCCTGTTTCCTCATCTATAGAATGGGAATGATGGTATGTGTGACCCAGTCAGCCATCCTGATACAGGATACCATGTGACAACTAATAGGAGCCCTTGCCCTACTCCCGGCTATGTGAACCCAACAAATCCCTGCACCCTTCAGGACCTCAGCTTCCCATTTCCTACATTATCTGCCCATGAGAATGGTGTGAATGGGCTCAGTTCTCCTTGTCGGAGGATTTGCTGGTCTTTAGGAGGGGCATCTGGGTAGATATAACCCTGAGCCCAAACCAGCCACAGATAGAAAATCTCAGTGGTGGTCTCAAAGGTGCTTAGAGTAGTCCTCATTACATGATGCTTAGGACAGAAAAGAAATGAGAGTAACTCAAAGTCTGAAGGGAATTTACAGGTCATCTGTAATCCCCAACACCTTTGTTTCAGGAACAAGGAAACAGAAATGAAAGCTTCATGAAGGCTAGGAGTATTCTCTGCTTTTTATACTAGCAAAATTCTTGAGCCTAGAACAGTGCCTGGCACATAATAGATGCTCAAAAAAAATTTGTTGACTGAACGAACGAAGCTCCAGGGAACTTAACAGAATCGTATAACAAATAGATTGCCTCAAAGCCCATGCCACTCATCGACAAGATGAGGAGCCAGAGAAAGAGGAAAAATGAGAAAGAAGACAGAGAACAAGAGAATATGGTGACTTTATCTGAGTTGCCAGAAAACGTAAATGATTCTTCTCCTGGTCTTCAGTTTCTATAGGTGTAGAGTAGACTTTCTCAAGGATCTCCAAGGGCCTCTGTCCTTATAATAGTTATCTATTTCTGTGTGGCCAAATTACCTCAAAACTTAGCACGTGAACACATCAAACATTTATTATCTTGCTTCTGTGGGTCAGGCATCCATGTGTGGCTTAGCTGGGTACCTCTGGCTCAAGGTCACAGGGAGTTGCAATCAAGCTGGCTGCTGAAGATGCAGTCTCATCTGAAGGTCTGACTGGAAGTGCTCCCCTTCCACGCTCATTCATGTGGTTGCTGGCAGCATTCAGTTCTTCAAGCAGGCAGACAGACTGAGGGCCCAGTACCTCCTGGACTGTTGCCACCTGGTACTTCCCCATAAGGGCTGCTCACAGTATGGCAGCTTGCTTCTCCCTGCCTGAGTTATCCTAGAGAGAGAGGGAGAGAGACCAAGATAGAAGCCATAGTCTTTTTATAATGTAATCTCAAGAGTGACATCCCCTCGTTTCTCCCTATTCTATTCCCTAACGGCATCAATAAGTCCTGCTGATACTCACGGGGAGGGAAATACACGAGAGAGTGAATACCCAGAGGCCTGCAGGGATCACTGGGGGTCCTCTTAGAGGCTGCCTGCCATACCCCTCTACGGGTCCATGGGTATAGCCAGGATGGGCCGTTCTGTGCCCGTCTTACCGTCCACGGGGAGGGGCAGGGGTCGAGACGCACCCCTCTCACACTTCCTTCCCCCTGCAAACTGCCCCCACCCCGGACTTGGCAGGTACCCCAAGCTGTTTCCTCTGAGCTGCCCGCCTCTGCGGGACTCACCGCCCCGCCCCAAGCACATGACTGTGGCCTTCCTGAAGACGCACAAGACTGCAGGCACCACCGTCCAGAACATCCTGTTCCGCTTCGCCGAGCGCCACAACCTGACGGTGGCCCTGCCGCACCCGAGCTGCGAGCACCAGTTCTGCTACCCCCGCAACTTCTCGGCACACTTCGTGCACCCAGCCACGCGGCCACCACACATGCTAGCCAGCCACCTGCGCTTCGACCGCGCGGAACTCGAGCGCCTCATGCCGCCCGGCACCGTCTATGTCACCATCCTGCGCGAGCCGGCCGCCATGTTCGAGTCGCTCTTCAGCTACTACAACCAGTACTGCCCGGCCTTTCGGCGCGTGCCCAACGCGTCGCTCGAGGCCTTCCTGCGCGCGCCCGAGGCCTACTACCGCGCCGGGGAGCACTTCGCCATGTTCGCGCACAACACGCTGGCCTACGACCTGGGCGGCGACAACGAGCGCAGCCCGCGCGACGACGCCGCCTACCTGGCGGGCCTCATCCGCCAGGTGGAGGAGGTCTTCTCGCTCGTCATGATCGCCGAATACTTCGACGAGTCGCTGGTGCTGCTGCGGCGCCTGCTGGCCTGGGACCTGGACGACGTGCTCTACGCCAAGCTCAACGCGCGCGCCGCCAGCTCGCGCCTCGCCGCCATCCCCGCGGCGCTGGCGCGGGCCGCGCGCGCCTGGAACGCGCTCGACGCGGGCCTCTACGACCACTTCAACGCCACGTTCTGGCGCCGCGTGGCGAGCGCCGGCCGCGCCTGCGTGGAGCGCGAGGCGCGTGAGCTGCGCGAGGCCCGGGAGCGCCTGCTGCGGCGCTGCTTCGGCGAGGAGCCCGTGCTGCGGCCCGCCGCGCAGATCCGCACCAAGCAGCTGCAGCCGTGGCAGCCCAGCCGCAAGGTGGACATCATGGGCTACGACCTGCCCAGCGGCGGCGCCGGGCCAGCCACCGAGGCCTGCCTCAAGCTGGCCATGCCCGAGGTGCAGTACTCGAGCTACCTGCTGCGCAAGCAAAAGCGCCGGGGCGGCGTGCGGGCCCGGCCTGAACCGGTCCTGGACAATCCTCCGCCCCGGCCCATCCGGGCGCTGCCCCGCGGCCCCCAGGGCCACTGAGCTCTGAAGTGTCTGGGTCCTACCCTGCCCACCGGGAGTCCTGCCTGGGAACTGCCCCAGCTCCCACCTCGTCAGGGCCCCTTCTGCTCAGTTCTTGGGCCCGCATCTCCCAATCTGAGCCTGCCTCCCTAGGGTGAGTTGAACCCCGCCTTCGTGGAGGGTGCTGATAGGCCCGATCAAGCCCCGGGCCACCCTTGTCTCCTTCCTGACTGGTTGGTGACCTTAACAAGAGGTCTGAGGCCTGTCCGGAACTGCCCACCCTGCCTTTTTCTGTGGGTTGAGCCACCCACCTGTCTTTTCCAAGTGGGTGAGCCCAGGCCTCACGCAGAAGGGGGCTGAGCCCTGGGAAAGGCTGCTTTGCCTGTCAGCTTCCCCGGGGCTCTTGCTCTTCCTCCCAGGGGTCAGAGACCTCCACACCGTCTGTCTTCCAGGTTCCACCCTCCCCACAGACCTAAGCTGCTCCCAGACTCCCAGAACCAAGAGTTCTTGGGTTGGGCTTTTTGTTTGGTTGGTTTTTCTTTTCTTTTTTTTTTTTAATAAAATATCTTTAAAAGGCACAGGTTGTATGTCAGTCATTGAAAGCCAGATTTCCCATGTTTGAGGATGAGGTGGACACCCAAAAATAGCAGCTGTGACTGTCACCGTGAGGAAGAGGGCCCAGGCTCAATCAGGCTCTTCCACCACCCTTCCCAGAGGCTCGCAACCCTCATCAACCCCCCCTTGACTGACTGGGCTCACCGACGCAGACTGGCCACCTCAGCTCCACTATTTTCCTTTGAGAAAAGCTAAATCATGCCTTTTTATTCAATTCAGCCCCACTTACTGAGCATCATCTCTAACTTGGGGACGTAGGTAAGCAAGGCAGATAAGGCTCATGGGGCTGTGGGGAACACAGGGAGACATTGGAACTGGAGCAGGACCTATAAACTGAAGGAAGGACCAGAGCCGTTATATATTATATTTATATATATATATATATATATATATATATATATATATATATATATATATATATATATATATATATATATATAACAACCATTCAGGCTGAGCAGAGGTTGGATGGAGGATCATACCCAGTAAGGAGGTGTTCAAATCCCCTTCCCCCTTCTGAGTCACCAACTTCACCACTGGCCCTCCCCACAAGGAGAAGACATCCCGACACAGATGAGGACCATTCCCTGACCCCAGCGTCCCTGAGCACAGCAGGACATCCAACAGTTACAAATGAAACTCCCTTAAGACCAGCAGAGAAGGGGCGCCTGGGTGGCTCAGTCGTTAAGCGTCTGCCTTCGGCTCAGGTCATGCTCCCAGGGTCCTTGGATCGAGCCCCACATCGGGCTCTCTGCTCGGCGGGAAGCCTGCTTCTCCCTCTCCCACTCCCCCCGCTTGTGTTCCTGCTCTCGCTATCTCTCTCTCTCTGTCAAATAAATAAATAAAATCTTAAAAAAAAAAAAAAAAAAAAAAGACCACCAGAGAATCAGGACTGTTTCTGTTACTTTCCTCAGAGCTATTTTGACATATCTGGACAAGTAATAAAAATAATAGCTAACATGGTCTGCTGTGTGCCAGCCACTGTTTAAGGGCTTTACACACATTAACTTACGAGATGGGCACCATCGAGGGGTGATGGAATTGAAACTTGGAGAGATTAAGTGACACTCGGGGTCCCACAGCTAGGACTTGAATCCAGACTGTGTAGCTTCAGAGTCTGTGCTCCCTAAGTGCCATCACACTGCCATTTGAATAAAGACGTTCCCGTGCCCTAGGCTAGGCGGACTCCCGGGACTTTCCCCAAAAAATGTAAAGTGAAGAAACCAAGACATTGCTATCAGCTCCTCTTTATTTTATTTTTCACAGAGACAATCCTTCACCTGTTTGGATGATAGAGATTTCAATGGTTAGTCGACAGTTTGGATGACAGTCTCTGGGCTTGAAAAGAGGCTATTTTTATAGCACCCCACTTTGTACCAGTAGAGCTCTGGAAAAGGCAAAAGGCAATAATTAGAGACGCACAAAGTCATAATTAGGTTTCTGGTGTTAAGCAGCAATAAAGAATTGTACTAGACTCAAAGTCGTCTATCCAAAGAAAAGCATGCTCTGGCCCCCTGGCCAACAGGTGTCTGTCTGCCATTGCCCTCCTCCGGCCCTAGCCTCTGGTCATACCTTTGCCAAGAATATCCTTCACCTTGTCCTGGGTTCTCCTGGAAAACTCAGAATTGCCTTTAAGATCTGCCTTGATAGACCTCTCCTGCCTTCCCAGCCCCTAAGGCTGGTGGGCCTTCTTTTATAAACTTTGCCCCACTTCAGCAGAGAGCACAATTCTGGACTCAGAAAAATCTGGATTCAAGAATTAACTGGAATCATCTGGAATCATCAGGCCCTGGGAGAGGGTTTCTCTTCAGAAGCAAAGGCAGACCCTAAGTAGGCACCAAATCAAATATTAGCCTTCGGTGACTAAGCAAGGAGGGGAGGTGGGCTCCGGGACTCCTTGGTCCAAACACCTGCAGCTTCAGCTACAGGAAAACAGGTTCCAGCTTCTGGGTCCCCAGTGCCTTGCAAAGAGGCTTCTTCCAACACCCATGTGGTGCTGTCCACTCTGTGCCCACTCTACTCGTTTCCAGAGCTGGCAGTGGGTGGAATGTGGTCACTCCCTCAAAGAGCTCACAATAAAGTCTGGGACAGATGTGGAAGCAGTTACCTGGGTGACAATGACTTAATGGAAGCAATTACTTGCCTCCGTGCTTTGGAGTTCAAACCATGACTCTGCCACCTACTGGGTACATGATCCTGGTCTTAGCCTTTGAGCCTCACTTTCCTCACCTATGAAAATGAACCATTCCTAAAACAAACAAACAAACAAACAAACAAACAAACAAAACAACAAAAAAAGTTAACCATTTCTGTCCTGAGCTTTGTGAACAGTATTTGAGATAAAGCACTTGGCACAGTGCCCAGCACGTGGAAATGTTCCCTAAGTAGCAGGTCTGGTGTCATCAGGGCTCCTCCAGGACAGACACCCTTTGTGTTGTAGGCGTTACAAGTTGGCACATCTATTCCGTGGGTTTACCGGCAGATAGAAGAAAGCATTTTGAGGTAAGAGTGCTTTTTTCTACCTTGCTCAAAGGCACTGTATGGGCAAGCAGCAGCCTTGATGGTTATGATTATAGAAAGATGGGCAAAGTGGCTCCTGGGCCATCTGGAGAAGCTCCCTGGGGAAGGGATGTCCCAGCTGAGAACTGGGACAGAGGAGAGTGCTCCAGACAGAGAGACCCATGCATGCGCCGCAGGTGAGAAAGCTGGGACCTCTGCGAGCCAGGGAGTGCTGGGCTACCCAGATGGGGAAAACACATCAGCACCAGCTAAGAAAGACCTTGAATGTCCCGCTTGGAAGTTCGGATCATCCTATGTGGGACGCTGGAGTGAATGGAATGGCTATGATGACCGTCAGGGAAGGCCGGGCTGTCCCCACAGCAGAGGGGTCATGATCTCTCACCATCTGCAGCCCCTTCCTGGCTGACACAGCAACACACCAGGTGGGGACCTCTGTTGTAGATGAAGAGGAGTCACTGAAGCAGGCCGGGGAAGGGTCTCCAGTTGCAAATGCTACTGGGAGAAGGCACAAGGATAAGAACAGTGACACCAGCTGATGTCTCCTGAGCACTTACGATGGGCTGGTGCCTTTCTCTGTGCCTGTGTATTTTCACTCACTTGATTCTTCCACCACCCCTGTGAAGGCGGTATTATTCTTTATCCCCCTTTCACAGAAGAGGAAACTGAGGTACAAAAAGGTGTGGTGCCCAGGCTCACCGGGCTGGGAGAGGCTGAGCCAGGACAGAACCCAGAGTGCTCAGACTTACAAGCCCCAGTCCCTGTCATTGGAATCTATTGTCCCACCCCATCAAACTCAGGAGTCCGAGTAGGCTCTGTTAAAGAGCCTGCTTACAGAAGCCTCCAGAGAGTAGGGTTGAGTGGGAGAGAGGAGTAGAGAGCCCACACACTCTGCATGCCTGAGGTGAAGCTGGCGATCCACCAACATGATTGGGCAGCTTCTCAGGCTGTGCCAGGGGAGTGAAGAGGGACGCAGGGCAGGAGCCCCTGAGGAGCAGGGCAGCCCCTGGGGGCATCCAGCTGAGGGGAAGTAAGGGAGAAGGGGAGGCAATGAGGGGAGGTGAGAGTGGCAGCCCCTTTCTCAATCTCAGAGACCTGAGATTAGCTCCTCGGACCCAGAAGGGCTGCAGGAATCTGAGGGCCCTGGCTAACCATGCCCTTTCCTCTCCAAAAGATCCCCCTGCACCCTCCCGTGGGCAGAGGACAGGACAGGACTCTCCACTCCCATACAAATCTAGTAGGATTTTCACAACACTCAGGCAACAGGGAAGCAGGACTCAGCCTAATACCCCATTACAGATGGGAAGGCTGAGTCCCACAGAGGGGATGTGGCTTCCAGCGTGGCCAAGAGCCAGGGCAGAGACAGGAGTGGGGACCCTCCCATGAGCTGGAGCCACAAGAGGCAGGATCCTGGGTCCTCTATCCCAACTTTGTTTCCAACCTAGAGCTCCCCTCCTGGGCGTTCCCCAGACTCATCAAACCCATTATGTTCAAAACCAGACATCTCACCTTTTGCTCAAACCAGCTTCTCCGGTACACTCAGTTTCAGGGACTGGCAACCCATTCAAGCAGATGCTCAAGCCCAACCTTGGTGTCTCCTTAACGCCTCCCTCACCCTTTTCCCAGCAACACCTGTCACCATATCCTATAGATTCTGACTCCTGAATAGATGGCATCTACCCAAATCTCCTTCCCTACAAAACCTGTGTTGGTCCAAGCCATCAGTTTCTCTATGGTTACTTCAACGACCATACTTAACTTACCTACTTACCTCGGACTCCCCATGGCAAACACAGTCTCCTCTCTGTATCCAGAGTGATCCTTCTTAAAGCAGCCTGATCTTATCATTCCCTTGTTTGAAACACTGTCCTCCGCTTACCAGCCCACAAGACCTGGCCTAGTCTGATCCCCGCCCTCCAAAACAACTTTTCAGCTACATCTCCCATTGCTTCTCTACCCCCATTATGTTCCAGCCACACTGGATTTTACACACCATTCCCTGAATGCAATGGTATGCCAAGACTGGCTCTTACTGGCTCTTGAAAGCTGAATTTTGCCAGCCAGTTGTTGAACACAAGACAATTATATTAAAAATTAATATTAAATTACTAAATTCTATAGACTTATCAAATAAAGTATATTACGAGCAAAGTTAATCAATACTGACAACTCGTTACTTTCCAATTAGTTTACTAGATTTTACTATTGTTTATGCTCTTAAGGTTATTTATGTCTATTCTATCTGCCTGGTGGAAATCCTGTAGAATGATGTGCTACTTCCTGCACATTTTTCCCAAATGTTACATTAGTAGCATGAAATCAACCAGGGTGGGAATAATTATACCACAAATCAACAAACACTATAAATCAAATCGATTTATTGTTTTGTTGATCATCCAGATCAGGGTTCAACAAACTACAAGCCAAATCTGGCCCACCACCTGATTTTGTAAACAAAGTTTTATTGGAACACAGCTACATTCATTCATTCACTTATTATTCTGTGGCTGGTTTTGCACAACAATAGCAGAGTTGAGTGGTGCCTATAGGCCTATATGGCCCCCAAAGTCTAAGACGTCTACTCCTTTGTCCTTCATGGAAACAGTTTGTTACTCGTTAACAAAAACCAAAATATACAGCCAATATTCACATCAGAGCTATACATGAAGAGATTAACATT